GTATTTATCATTTAGAAAACATTATCTTAACTGATCTTAGAGAATGAAGCATGGTGCTATCTAGTTCTGAATTCAGAGATTAGCCCTCTTGTGCTCTCCCTAGCACCTTTTAGAAGGAGCAAAAACTCAATGAAGTAACTGCCACATCTGTGTAACTGCCACATCTATTTCATTTGATAATAAGAGGAAGGGTTTGGTCAGTTCCATTTCACATAGGTGCGGGGAAATTCTGATAGATGAGCTGAAACTCTGAAATTCTAATAGATGATAAACAGATGAGCTAAGTAGAAATATTATAAGCAGTCACAGCTAAATCCTCAAGAGGGTCAGGACAAAGGTGAAGACTGGAGCCACAGCAGCTGAAAATCAAGGCTCAAGATAAAGACAAGATGACCAGTTCTACATGCTTGCTCAAAGAACAAACACTGGGCTTAGAAAGACATCAGCCACCCCGGTGGGTGACCAGAGACCTCTGGACCCACCAATTCCTAGGAGAATCTTTGTTCTTTCCATCCATGTTTGTTACATCACTTCTTTCCCAATTGGATCACAATTACCTAAGTGACTACGCTTGTAACCTTATTGGATGTTCATGGATGTGGCCCACATTGTTTCCACAGGGGTTTTACCCTATAAAACTCCTCTGTAAAGTGGGGTCTTCTCGAGGCTACCCACTCGGGATCCCTCCTGCCCTTAAGGAGCTTTCCTATCAATAAATATCTTCCTACTCTTAACCTCTGTTGTTCCTAGGACTCATTCTTTGATTTCTAGAGAAAAAGAACTTGTAATATCATACAATTAACAGGTTGGGAGGTACAATATGTCATATTTCATCTCCAATATTATTTCCTTAACACGTCTACCCAACACTTAGCCCCTAACCTATGTTAACACTCTGACTGTTACTTGTCACTTTTACAATTTCCTATGTAGCTTTAGAAGTAAGAGTTTTATTAAGATCTCCAAGTTAATGTGAACTACTTATTTTTGAAATAAGAATATGACAATGGTGTTGATTCAGGTGCAAATCTAAACTTCAAACTGCTTCCTCATAGGAATCTTGAATGTAAGAATGTAAAATGGGTTTGGCACTGTATTCTGCAGATAGATGCTACATTTAGCGTCAGTTTTCAATATATGGAGATTAGCAATCATGTCTAGGGCTGGCGACTGTCTTACTCTTGCCTGACTCAGTGCCCTCAGGTAAAAACAAGGAAATGAGAGAGAGGTTATGATTAAAATGTTGCTCCTGCCCCCTCAAAAGAGAGTTCATAGAGTGCCACTGGGTTTATTGTGATAATTTTAACAATGTAGGAGAATATGTCTGGGCATAACTAGTTAAAACAGAATAATTCACTAAGGACTAAAATAAAAATTGATTAATTTTGATATTATCGAAACAAAGAAAGCTAATATAGATTCTTTTTTAAGCAGGAAGTAGTTTTTGCTTTGAGTGGCCCCCTTAAGAAAGTCCACCTACACAAACAAAACAGAGAACTGAAATAGCAGTCTTCCAATCTTCTTTACCAACCACAGAATTTTATGGAAATATGCCTTGTAAAATAAAGGTACACACTATAAAGAGAGAATAGAGTAGGATTCTGTTATCCTGGTCTTCCGGGACTTTTAATTTTTTTATAGTTTTTGAAGTTCTATAATCTGTCTTTAAAGGACTGTTGTGTACAAGTATGCTAAATATACCTTACATACTGTAGCTTGTATTAGGTCAGGTTCATCAAGCAATATTGTTAAAATCCTTCTCAGAAGAGTGCGCCTATACCTTTTCCCATCACAGCCTCTTAAAATTTCTCAAAGATAAAGCATTTTAAAGTGAAAAATCATCCTTTCTTTCGTGCTTTTAGGCTAAACTTCAGAAAATTCACTGCTCAAAAACTTGAATTTTATCCCTACCCCTGACTTCTTGCAAACTCATTTTGCATTTATGAGAGGTTGGCACCACTCCCCACCCTCAGAAAACAGATGACACATTGAATTAAATGCTGAATAAACATTGTAACATAATGCCTTATGAGTGCCCTTTCTCCTGTATCCGCTCAATCTCTAGTGGCTTTTTCTCCCATTGGTCTTTTACTTTGAAACAGGAATGCCTACAGTTACAAAGTCTAATTTGTGTCACTTACACTACAGGGATGCAAAATGACACAACAGCATTACTCTCTTCTTTGCTCGTTAGGATAAAGGACAACTGCCCAAGTCCCAGGAGTCTATGAAAGTTGCTAAGGAATTTGATCCATACCATTTGAGAGGTTTGCATCGCAGGGAATTTGAACTGCTTTCAGACTCATCTTAAACATAGAGATGCCCATTTTCTCTGTATAATAGAATTCTACATTGAAAGCAAAAGGCTTCTGCAGCTGCTTTGTCTACGAGATAACAACTATATTTTTAAAAGTCAAATTAGGCCTGTCTTTTGCATGCCTGGCAAGCTACTGGCATAGTTTTAGAGAATAAAGAATGACTATTTCAACTAACAGTACAGACTGTTGGGTTGTAAGGTCTGTGCCTTTTCTTAAGGTCACAGGGGATTACCGGTCATTAAATATGCTTTCAAATGTGGCTTCTTTTTCACAGGACACTTTTTTCCTTTAATCCCATTTAAACGATGAAAATACGAAGCATTGAAAAAAAAGCAAAACAAGAAAATAACTAAAATAAAAAATTGTCAAAAAAATGTTTGTATGGGCTGAAGTCTAAAACTTCAAATGCTGAGGTTCCGATTCAGGATTGTTTGGAAGAGACTGTCCTTGCTTATTTCCCTTCCAACGAAAACCAATGCTCATCCAAAACCTGTGCCATTAGATTCTTGCTCTCCTTCTCCTTACTTCTGACATCTACCAACTTTCTGAACACTTCTACATTCATTTCTACACTCATTGATGGCTTAGACACAGAGATCACATTTGTTCTTTTAGCATTTAACTTTCCGTCTCTGTTCCTTTTTGCACTGTTATTTCAATGAGCCCAAGTCTTTTTTATTGTTTTGTCATTTCAGTGAGCTGAAGTGTTTTTAATTCTTTGAAAAAAAAACTATTCTCCACATCATCCTCCAAAATATTTAATATATTTAATATGCTACAGTCAGACTATTTTTAAATGAAAATCCAATTGTGTGGCTTGCTACTTTAACGCCATCAAATCCTTCCTTTGCGTATTTAATAAAACTTCAGTCCTAGTCCTTAGCTTGCTAGTCTGTGTCTCCTCCGGTTCAGGGCTATCTGTTCAGTAATGTTGGCTCTGTTTGTAGACTCTGAGAAGCACTTTGCTATTCTGCTGCCTTTGTGTAGGCAGTCTTCTCTTCCTGAATCTTGCTGCTGTCACCACCAACATATTCTTTCAGATACTGGTTTAAAAATAAATAAGATGTGCTATGTACATGTAAAAACTCCCTGCAACACAAGTAAACATTATGCATTACTAATATGCACTAATAAAAAATCCATAATAAAAAGATATTGGTTTAATTGATATTATGATAGATATTCATTGATTTTAGACCATCGCTTTGGGTTTATAACTCCCTCTCTGAGGCAACTCATAGAAACTAGAACTTCCCTTCTTCAAGGCAGGTCATAGAAATGCCTTCATCCCCCCTGCCCCGACCTGGGGCACTCCTAGGGAGAAGTACTCTGATCTCCCTGAAGGCCTTAAAACCTCCATCACTCTAGAGGAGTCCTCCCCACATGCTGGAGAGAAGCTGCATAAAGAGGCTAAAAATGCTAAAGCAGACAGCTCTTGCTGGCCTTTCCCCACAGTCTATTAGCACTGGATATGCAATGAAGTTTGCACCTTCACCCAAAAGACAAGGGTCAGAGATCTTCAAATAGCTAAACACAAAGATGATCCAGGAGGGTGACACTTGAAGAAAGCATGGCAGTCCTGTAACCTTTCTTATGTACCTTACCCTGTGCATTTCTCACCTGTATCCATCAAAGAGAACTTGAAAGAGTGTTCCCTAACTTCAGTGACTCCAAGGAGGAGTTTATGGGAGTCTGGACTGATAGCCAGGTTGATCAGAAGCACAGGTAAAATGACCTCAGGCTTGCAATTGGTATCTAAAGTTTGTTTAGAATTGTGGGGTAATGGTAGGAACTGAGTCCTTGACCTGTGTGATAGGACAGGATCTCCACATAGATAGTAGCAGAACTGAATTGAACTGGAGGATTCCTGGCTGTGTCTGCTCCTGCTCTGAAGAAAAGAAATACCACATGTGCAGTATCCAAAAGTTGTCTGATTATTGTGTTAGTCCTGTTGATTGTTATGTGAGAGCAAAGGGAAAACAAAACAAATTTGCAGGGAAGACTTTCCTGTTTTCCACAGTAATAAATTATAATCTTGTTCTTTCTGCAAAATTGTTCTGAAGGCAAATTATCCTCATGTATTGACAGTAATCTAAGTCATATATTTTTCCTTATATTTCTATCTCTATGAACCTCAATCATTTCAATTATAATACTACCAAGGAAACTTGTTTTTAAAAGCAAGGAGGATACTGCTAAGAAGTTAATCCAACTTTATTCTCAGGCTGTAGTATGTATCATTCCAGGCTGTCCTACACCAGTTTCTATGGCTATCCCATACATAATAAACGCACTCAGTCATAAGAAATAAACTGCATTTTTAAGCCAGTAAGCACAGTATCTCATAGAGGGAGCTTGTCTGAAGTCTTGACTCAGCTCTGAATTCCAAAACATCCACAATTACACACTAGCTATTTTATCTGGCTGCAAGTGCTTTCAGCTACTGTGAAACCAAAGTCAAATGCTATTCTGACAGTTACCACCACCAGAGAACTGTTCAAAATGTTAATACCCAGAGATAATCATAATTAAAGAAGAGAGAGTCCCTGGTTTTTCAAGGAAGCCAAGCAACTGAAAGTGAACCATAACTAAGCATTTTTAAAAGCAAAACAAATAAGATACTTACGCATGTCACCAAAGGCCCCCTTTGTCACTTTGGTGGCACATAATACCACTACTGTGAATTTATGGGAATACTGGTGCTCCACCTAGAAGTAAAAAATAGTAAACTTAAATAAGCTTTCAATATAGAACCTCAGTATTTCTTTGAGGCTAATTAAAAATATTCTACCTGAAAACAAGTAACATGCATACCAGAAACATTTTTTGATGCTAAGGTAGTTCCTTTTCCAGTTCTTCTTTCCCACACAGAATAATTGAGAAGTTTAGATCATGTTTTCAAACGTCACTACAACATTACCAGGAGCACTTCTTTGCTATAGGTTTATCAAGTACTCCGGAGGAAAAGAATGTAAATTAGGATCTAAGGCATTCTAGGAACTCAAGCAGGCTTTGTACTAACTGACCAGGAAGCCCTGGTTTAGAAAGGTAAACTCAGAGCAGAATGTTTGAATCACCTAAGTTAGTTTTCGTTATCAATCCATACCAATCAGAAGCCGTTCTCTACAAGACATTTCTAGGCAGTTTTCAAAGTAGTTTGAACCCAACACAGAAATCTCTAAACTACTTATATTAATGTCAATGTTTTTTTTTTTTTTTTTTTTTTTTTTTTGGTAAAACACACACCACAGTGGTACTGTGCCTGCCTCACAAGCACAAGGTCCTGAGTTCAATTCCTGCTACCAAAACACAAAAAACAAAAAACTAGGCACCACAATGTTAAAAGTTCCTACTAGCCTAATAGATTGCGTTTGTATTATAAATATTAACAGGTAGATGACTTTAATAAACACTTCACCTAGAAGGAAATCAGTTATCAATCAGCCCTAATCACTAAAAAAGAATGGAAAAGTACAAACTGTGTCAAGGGTAACTAAAAAGATGACAAAATCATTAAAAATCAGCCATTTTTTGTTTAAGTTTAGGAAAGTCTACCTCACTAAATTTTTATAAGTATATGTAGCAGTTTTTAAAGTCTGCAATTGATTTAAAAGAAGCTAAGACGACAACACTGTGAAATAATGAACAACAATCTAAATCAAGAAGGCAAGACATTAGAAAAATAGATTCATAATGACCACCAGGAATGGGAGATAAAAGCAAAGTTACACAGTACTCAGCAGCTTCTGAAGAAATTGCTCTTTTTAAACAATAATTAATATTCACATAATAAAGTGAAGTCACTTATATTGAACATATCTTGTTTAAAAAGGTGTGCTAAAAATACTCGACAATGCTTATTCAGCTTTATTTTCAAAGAAATAAGTATATAATTACATTTACAATAGTAATTAAAAAATCAAGTATGAATTCCTTTTGAAGAAATGTTAAGACTTCTATTCTGAATAACAACTCAACTAAAAAACAACTACATCAAGGAAAGATACACCAAATGCATGAGTTGGAGTAGTTAGTATTGTTAAATTGGAAATACTTCTTAAATTTATCTACAGTTTTAACATAAATTCTTTGAAAATTCCCTCTGCCTCTTTTTTATAAATTTATGATTATTAGTGTCATTATTCAATATTAAATGTGCTAATGTTCTTACTTGTAACTAAAAATTCACTGTTTCTGCCCATGATGTACTCTGTATATTGTGTATGATGTGTGTGCTTATATTTCTGTGTGTGTGTGTGTACGTGTGTGTGTGCGTGTGTGTGTGTAGAAAGAAGGTATAGGTTTGTGTTTTTTAAATAAATATTCATATTATTATTATATAGCACACACTGCACTCAGGTGTCTTTGACATAATTTAAATAATTATTTTGAAAGATATAATATAAAAATTAAAATGTTTTCATTTAACTAATCTATTTTCTATTCAATAGAAATAAAATTTATTTGAAATGTTTGTTTGTAATAAAAGTCATCACTTAAGATAAAAAAAAAATCAAGAAATAACTTCAACATCTAAAAGTTCTAAATAGCCAAGATTTATTTTGCATTAATGAAAATAATTAAACATGGATATACCATGAATGCTTCAAAATGTGTATTATAAATGAAAACAACATTTGCACTCCTGCCCTCAAGAAAAGAGCATTTTTATAAATGATGATAATTTTGAAGTTTTGCTATGTAAAACCAAAATCTACAAAAATACATTTAGATACATATTTTCTATGCAAACCTCTTGAAGGAAAACCTTAAACCTTATGTTAAATATGCCTGGTTAATATTATGTCAAATGTAAATAATGAGCCAGGCTGCAGAGAGTACAAAATTGCTTTGAATATTTATATTACCATCAGTTACTGAGCCTCGGAGATAATGTATAGAAGAATAAAGCTCCAGATTACAACTAATATAAGCAAAAATAAAGATTACATCCAGTTTCTTCTCCAAAAATCAAGAGAGCAGAATGAAATATGTAAAAGCTGAGAGAGAAAAAATATGGAATTCTGTATTCTATAAAGTTAACTTTTAAAGTAAGGAGAAATGGGCTAGAGATTTAGCTCAGTGTTTCACCACCTGCCTTGCAAACTCAAGGTCCTGACTTTCATCCCTGGTACCAAAAAAAATTTTTAAAAAAAAGTAAGGAGAAATGAACTTTCTCAAAAAAATTGAGTAAATTTGATATCATTAGATCTGCCTTGCAAAAATGTTGAGAACATTTTTTTTTTTTTCAGATGCAGGACCTTGCACTTGTGAGGCAGGTGGCAGCACCACTGAGCTAAATCCCTACCCTAAAAGAACTTTTTAAGGAAAGGAGGAAAAGGCTACAGACAGAAACTCAGATTTACAGAAAGAAGAAAAGCTTTGGACAAGGAATAAGTGATGATAAAATTAAAAGTGTATTTTCCCTGCATTTTTAAATTTTGAGGTAGAAAAATCAATTATAGAGCCAGGGATTTAGCTCATTGGTGCTGCCATACCTGCCTTGCAAGTACAAGGTCCTGGGTTAAATCCCCAGTTATATATATACATATATAAATGATAAGCTAAGAAAGGAAAGAAAATAGAATATTTTCAATTAATATTCAGTAATAATGAAAGAAATAAAAAGAGTAAAGAACTCTTAGAAATACCTCTGTCATAAAAGACAGATTGTCAAAGTGGAACAAAAACAAGACCCAATTGTATACTGTCTACAAGAATCCCACTTTAATTTTAAAGTCACAAAAATTAAAAGTAAAGAAGTATACTATGTTAACATTAATCAAAGAAAGCTAGAGTTGCTATATTATTTTCAAAATTGACAAAAGATTAGACATTAGAGCAAAGAAAATTATCAGGAATAAAAACAGTGTATTTATGATAAAGGATAAATTCTTCAAGAAGCCATAATAAACCAGGTATGGTGGAACATGCCTGTAATCCCAGCAATCAGAAGGCTCAGGCAGGAAGATCGCCATAAGTTTGAGGCCAGTATGGACTACACAGTGACTTCAAGACCAACCTGAACTACACAATCAGATTCTGTCTCAAAAAACCAACCAAACAAACAAACAAAAATTTAATACTTAACATGTATGCTAAACAATGTAGTATCAATACAAAAGGCAAAAACTAAGAGAATTTCAAGGGTAAATAGAAGGATTTATCCAGAAGATGTTAACACCCTTCTATCAGAAATGGACACGTATAGCATGAGTAAAAACAATTAAATTTAATAGCACCATCATTCAACTGTATACAATAGGCTTCTACAGTCATCCAAAAACAGGAGAATACACATTCTTTTCAAATTTACATGGAATATTCACCAAAATAGACCATGTTGTGGGCCATATCATATAACTTAACAAATTTTTAACAAACAAACCTCATACAATGTTTATTCTCAGACTATAATGGAATTATAGATATATATAGCAAAATAGAAATCAATACAAAGAGAACCAGAAAACCCCAAAAATATAAAGATTAAACCATACACTTTTAAATAGCACATGAGTAAAAGAAGTTTCAATAAAATTTCTAAATATTTGTAATTAAATAAAAATAATACAATGTATCAAAATTTAGAGTATAATAAAAGTAGTGCTTAATAAAAAAAAGACAAATTTATAGTTTTCAATTCTTATATTTAAAAAAAGGTTCAAAATGAATAAACTAAGGTTTATTAGGTTTCTAGGATTCTCGAAAAAGATGATGTTAAATCTAAAATAAGTAGAAAAAAATAATAAAACCTAAGGCAAAAATCAATAAAATTAAAAATCAGAAATGAATACAACAAATTCAATGCAGCCAGTAGTCCGTCCTTTGAAAAGATCAATAAAATCAGTAAGCCTTTTTCCAGACTACATTGAGAAAGAGTGAGAGGAGATTCAATCTACCAGTCTCAAGCATAAAAAAAGAATAACAATAAGATCCCATGCAAATTAAAAGGATAATAAAAGGAATATCATACACAATTTTATGAATGCAAATTCTAAATAAAACAATCTATCAAAATTCATACAAAAAAGAAATAAGTGAATAGACTCCCATTTAATAAGTATATTAAACCAATAATTAATAATCTTTTCTGTTATGGCTTATGTCTAGATGTCCCCCCAGTGCCTCATTTAACTCATAGCTAGGAATTTTGGAAGGTGGATGAGTCTAGGCTGTGTGATGCTGGGGCTAAATTGTAGGACACTGGGATTAAGGGCGTGTATTCACTAAATTAGTTCATTAATTGGTTTGGTATAGTTCTGGGTGTGAATAATGGGAAGGCCCACCCTGGGTGTAGATGGCAGGTGAATAGCATAGAAGGGATGATAGGGAGAGGCAGGCTGCTGCTGCTGCTGCTGCTTTGTTACTTCACTGATTTACTGCCTTCTACCTGCCACATTATGAACTGTTTTTTCTCTACAGTGCCCCTCTGCTATATCACCCTGCCTTGGAGCCTGCCAACTACGGACTGGAACCTCTACAAACTCATGGTTCGAAATAAACTTTTTCTCCTTTAACTTGAATGTCAGGTATTTTTACTCAGCAACAAGAAAAACAACTAAGGCAGTCTCAAGTTAAAAGCATGATAGTTCATATGCACTCACTGGTAAATTAATTATAGCAAACATTTAAAAAGAAATGATATCAATTTTTCAGTATTTTATAGAAATAGAAGCAAAAGTTTCTCACACCAAAGAGACTATTC